TATTCTTGTTGTTGTTGTTGTTGTTATTGTTGTTGTTGTCGTTGTTGCTGTTGTTGTTGCTGTTGTTGCTGTTGTTGTTGTTGTTGCTGTTGTTGTTGCTGTTGTTGTCATTGGTGCTGTTGTTGTTATGTTGTTGTTGTGGTCGTCGTCGTCGTTGTTGTTGTTGATGTTGTTGTTGTTGTTGTTGCTATGTTGTTGTTATGTTGTTGTTATGTTGTTGTTGTTGTTGTTGTCGTTGTTGTTGTTCTTATGTTGTTGTTCTTATGTTGTTGTTCTTATGTTGTTGTTGGTGTTGTTGTTGTTGTTGTTGTTGTTGTTGTTGTTGTTATGTTGTTGTTGTTGTTGTTGTTGTTGTTGTTATGTTGTTGTTGTTGTTATGTTGTTGTTGTTGTTGTTTTTGTTGTTGTTGTTGTTGTTGTTGTTGTTATGTTGTTGTTGTTGTCGTCGTCGTCGTCGTTGTTGTTGTTGTTATGTTGTTGTTGTTGCTGTTGTTGGTTATTGTTGTTGTCGTTGCTGTTATTAATATAATACTTATACTTATAATAATAATGATTGTTATTATTATTACTAGTAGTAGTAGTAGTAGTAGTATCATGTAGTATCATTGTTGTTGTTGTTCTGCATATCATTGTCCTTGTTTTTGTTGTTGCTCGTGTCATTGTGCTAATCGTTGTTGCTGCTGGTGCTGCTGGGCCTGCATTTGTTGTTGCTGCTGGTGCCGCTGGTGCTGGTGCAGGTTGATGTGGTTGTGGTTGTTTTGTTGTTGTTGTTGTTGTTGTTCTTGTTCTTGTGGTTATTGTTGTTCGTGTTGGTGGTCGCGATGTTGTGATGATGACGACGATGGCAATGATGACTAGAAGGACGATGAAGAAGAACAATAAGGACAAACGAAGCTGCAGCGCAGGAGTTGAGCAGACTAGTAGTTTGTAAGTAGGGCAAAATTCGTCACACACACCAAGCCCTCATGTAAGCAAAGATCGAAGTTTTCAATGGCAAGCTCAGCTATATGTGTTAGAGGACAGCCGGGCAACAGCTCGGGTTGGCGTCCTGTGCAATTGTTGTATGGGAAGCTTCACTATTCACGTTCGTCAGGTCTGGTCAAAGTGTGGGACGTCGGTTCCGGCCGCAGTTCTGCAATTACGGAGACGCGCCTAGCTGTGGAGAATGCATCCGCGCTGGCATTCTTGGGAGGGCCTGCTGGCTTGCTGATCGCGCACGAGACAGGAGAGATGGACGAAACAACAACGACTCGTAAATAAGATAAGTAGAAACACGCTAGCCCTGTTCGTTTCGCGTCCGCCTGGTCTTTCAATGAAATCTCTGGCACTCGGTCTGAAGAGTCCGGGGGACTTGTGCTGCAGGTTTTGCCTTCGTCGACCCGGGCAGTGGCAAGTTGATGCGCCAACAGTACACCAAGGACGTCGTGGCCACTGCCTGTGGGGTGTCGCATGGGCAAATGGATCAGTCTGACTTCTTCGCTGGAGTTGGCTGCAATCTGGTCCGTTATGAGACCCGCTTCACTGGTGCGGAGGCGAAGGGCCATGCTGTAGGCAGCTCCCATGCATTTGCTGAGATGGATGTCCAGGGGAGTTTTCATCGAAAGAAGGCCTTTCCGCCGTCATTGGCGGGTGAAAGCTTAGACACGGGAGAGCCCAGGAATGTGGACTTTGCCGGCGAAAGTTACGTCTGTGGATGCTGTGAGCCAGAGTCATGACCTCGGTTCCGTGACTCACAGGGTCTGCCACTTATTGTCTGTCTTCCTGGGGCGCGCATTGGTTTGGGATCTCATTGGTAGGCTTCTAGCTTAAAGCTGTGGGCTTCNNCGGGTGTGCCTCTTGTTTCTGTCCTGGTTGAGTCGCTGCAAACCAGATGCAAAAAAGTGGAATAAGATGCATATGATTGTTGGGCAGACAAACACGCACATAAATAAACAGTTCAACAAGTGAACAAATAAGCATATGTATATACACATACACACACATATTTATACAGAAGGGACTGTCCTGGGGCCTGCATTTTTGCAGTCTAGGAGTCTAGCTATTTTACATAGAATATGATAATCTTTGTGGGACGAGCTGTTCTTCTACAGTGTTTATATGTAAAACAACGCAAAAACAACGTAAAAACTACTGTAAAACACAGGCCCCAGGGCAGTCAGCTCTCTATTTAGAGAGCTGACTTCTCTATCTATATAGGCACATATATATATATATATGTGCATATATATATATATATCTGTGTATATGTTTGTATTATATATATATGTGTGTGTATGTATACACACATACATACATACATACATACATACCTACCATACCATACATACAATACATACAATACATACAATACATAACCTACATAACATACATAAAATACATACATACATACATACATACATACATACGTACATACATACATACATACAGACATTGACATGCATATATATATATATATGGTACCCCCCAATTGTTCACGTGTTTGGTGTAAATCCTGTCTATTATGCCCATGACCCTCTCCCCCCCTTGTTCTAAAGAATACACTGTACATGTGTATGTGTCTATGTTGAACTCTAGTATGTGTGCAGTACTACAAATACTACATACGATCGTTGATAGTCGATGGTCTTTGGAATTCTCTTCGCGCAATCCATGAACACTATTGAGTTCAATAGGCCCTATTGAATTCAATAGGTTTGGTATGTACTTGAAGCTCTTGTCCAATGAATGCCAAATGCGGGAGCTGTATGTGCTGTTGCCTGCTTCCTTCTGAAAATGGGTGCTATCGAACCGATGTGTTATCCGTGGCAAATTCGGGCAAATAACAAGGCGATCGACGTTTTCCCATGGTGTCGTTTCGGAAAATGTGATGCTATCGGAACCGCTGCGCCTTCCAGACCTTAAGACTCCACCAGATTTTCCGAAGGGTTTGCTTTAGAAAAATGGTGCTATCGAACCGCTGTGGTATCTATTGCAACTTCGGACAACAAGCAGGGGCGGTTCGATAGCATCAACTTTTCCGAAGAGTGTCGTTTCAGAAAACTTGGTGAATCGAACCGCTGCGTTTCCGAAAATGGGATCAGCGAAAAAAGCGGTTCGATCCCACCAAATTTCATATAGGGATATATAGGGTATATATAAGCTATATTATATATGGGGTATCACCTACATGGGGTATCCTACAAGGTATTCTATATAGTATTCCAAGTGGTATTCTATATAGCATACTGTATATATAGAGGGGCATTATACAGTGTATTGTATAGCGCATTCTATAGGGTATTCCATACGGTATTGTGTAAGGTATTCCCTAGAGTGTATATACAGGAAGGGGTGTATATATGATGCAGGGCTGCCACACCCCTCCTCCCCCCCCACCCCATGGTATCTGTGGGGTGGGTCCTGTGGTGGTGCCCTTCCCCGCCCCGCCTGTGGTTTCGTTGTTGTGGTGGGCTGTGCACCCCCACCCAGCTGAGGCTTTGGTTGGCCTTGTTCGCAGTTGTGCCTGCTGCCGGTGATACTACTCATGATGTTGTGCTCTAGACGGCGACGCGAGTCGACAATCGGATCATCTTTGACATCATGCTCAACATCATCATTGTCTTCTTCTTCCAACGCAGCCAGAGCGTTCTGGTCTAGCGGGTGCTTGTACAAGATGCCCTTGCATCCCGGCCGCTCTGTCTTTAGACCGCGGCTAGCACGTATGCCTATGGTGAGCGTATACTCAATGTATGAGATCCACCCTGACCTTTAAAGAAAACGAGCTGTAAAAAGAGTGTCATGAAAGAAAGGAGACCTCTGCCTTTTTGAGGCGCATGAGGGAAGTGATGATGCCAGAGCAGCTGATCAGAATGTACAGAAGTTGATCAAAGAGCTGCAAGCCTGGCTAATCACATCCACGGATGTTAACTAATCGTCCAGTGTATCCAAAGCAATGGGCAGTCTGTCGGGAGCAACCTTGTTTCGACCCCCTTCTGTAATTCCCATCGGCAAGCGGAGCAGAATATAGCTCATACGACGATCGAGCGTATCCATACGCTCCTGCAGGACATCATGATCCTTCACCAGCTGTTTGATCCAGATCTCCAGAAGATAGAGTTGCCGGGACAGCGACTTTTCTCTTTCCGTGTACACTATCGGATCTGTGAACTCCATGTCGTGTGAGGCTGGCGTCCGCACTCGAGAGATCACGGCTAAGAGTAACAGGAGCGGCTTCAGCACACAAGATGAGAAGATACATGGACCGCGACGTGTCATCTAAGTCCTGTGGTGAGGCCTGTTTTGGCGGGCTGGCATCGTCTAATATGAAATCAGAGCTACCTCTCACCATCACCGTATAGTGACCTGCACAAAAAGTGGCAGCATGATGACGAATGATGGTATGCACCTTGAATGATCGCCATGCTATGGCCTGCGAAGCAGCATCCACAAAAGTCGGCATTTCCAACATGCCTGGCACTACGTACGGCTGATGGGTTTTAACCCCTGCACATGCATCAAACCTGGGCAGCTGCAGACACAACCACGAAGGGGTGCCCAAAATGGCACAAAGATCATCTTGCTGATGCCACGCATTGACGAGCTCCTGGATTTCCAGCTTGGGCGACGGCGGGAGGGGTAGGGGAATGCACCTATTTAGGGCAGTGGTGTGGGTGATATGAGTGCCGTCCTCAGTCATGACGCGACCCTGCCACACATCCCCAGTGGCAGGGAACAGCCTGGGGATAAGAAAATCATGAAACTCAGCAACATTATTCTGCTCCCAAGCTCTTGGCCACCCCATCATGTAGTACCCCAACACGCGTCTGGCGCGCACCCCCTCACCTTGCAGGCGACGAAGCTGAGGTGGCAAAGTGGAAAGTGTTTCGGTATGCATCGCAGCTAGCCATGTAACATAAAGCAGGGAATTGATGTAACAGGCGTTGCCATCATTTAGGAGCGTAAAGGGCGGTAAGCCCAACGATAGTGGTGGTGACAAGGTCCCGCCTGCTGCATCTGCACGTCCTAGCGCCCGTAAGCAATGCGTGCCACTTGTTGAGCCAACTGCGGCCTCCGGAGGGTGGCCCGCTTCATAGACAGCCCCACGAGCTGTAGGGCCGAGACGCCGATCAGCTGCACAAAGGTTTCGTGCACTTGAGTCGCCACCGTCCCTCTGAGGCTCACCGAGAGAAAGAAAGCAGCTGTTGTAGCCTGTTCGTCCTCTAAGGCTTGCAGCCTCTTTGTCGAATGAAACTTGTGGATCACCTCGCCCTTCAGGTTGGCCAACAGGAAGTCGAGCTTGGCGAGAAGGTCCTGGTTGCTCATCACGCCCGCCTCCGGGTGCTGTACCAATTTCTTGGCCTGGTGGCATCATCGCTGCTTTGTCCAATTCCGATCCGTGTTCATCCAGCCCGCCGCCTGCAGCTTTGTGATCCCCTCGGGGCCCGCCGTCATGTAGTGGACTCTGTCCCGGAGCTGCTGAATGAGACATGCTAGCAGCAAGGTGCGGATGGGCGACGTAGTCTGACTTGTGCCCTCCTCCTGCTGTTTCCCCCATTCCTTCGCCACCTGGTAGAGTCCCGGCAGCACGCTGACGTCGTCCTCCCGGAAGTAAAGCATCAGCGTCTTGTCCATGCGGAGCTCGGCGATGATCTCCTCCTGTCGCATGAGCATCCGGGCCATCGTCTGGATCGAGTCCGACTGCCCGGCAGGGGCGGACGGCAAAGAAGGCGCGAAGGGTCGCCTTTGGCCGCGCCTGTTCTGGGTGTCCTGTCGCGGACGCTTGCTTGGCGGGTCGGCCTTGTTCGGTGCGCCGCTTGCTGCACCCACCTGGGGCAGGCAAAACCTGAAGATCTCTGCTTCTGGATTCAGCTCCGCTCCCGTCATTTGGAGCACTTGCTGGAACCTGAGCATCAAGAACGGCAGGCTCATGGCCCGAGGGTTGCTGCTGTTCACAGTTAGCCGCCGCCAAACAAAGTTGGAACAGTACCGGACACTGATCAACATGCCGACCTGGGCTCCAGACCTTGCACGAGCACCAGGGGCAGTCACTGTTGGTGACCAGCTGGGACTTAAACGGCTTACACCTCCGAAGCACAACCTGACTGAGGCTACCATGGATTACAGGATGAGCACGTCTGATATGTTGCTTGATGTGCTTGGTATCCATGATAATCGTTTCCCCCTAATATTAAAAGGCCCCCCTCCCCTCCCCCCCATAATATTAAAATTGGATTTCGGGGGTTCCATTTTAATATTAGGGGGGTTACCGGCGCCTGCGGGCATGACTGGCCCCTGAGCCTTAAGAGCCTTAATTACAGCCGCGAGCCCTAAAACCCTAAGCCCGCAGCCCTGAGCCCTACAG